AATTGAATAGAGTGAGGGCCTTGCTCTGGATTAGGCTTTAGCTTAATGGAATGTTGTGGCTGCTTTGATCTTCTCTCCAGACCACTGCAACTTTCTCCGTATCAGCAATAAGGGTACTTTGCTTTCTTATCATGTGCGTGTTCACTGGAGTAGCACCTTTAATTTCCTCCTTTGCATTCACAACTTGGCCAACTAGAGCACGAGGCCTTGGCTTTTGACATGCCTTCCTCACTAAGCTCAATCATTTCTACCTTTTGATTTAAAGTGAGAAACGTACGACTCTTCCTTCATTCGAACACTTAGAGGTCATTGCAGGATTATTGATTGGCCTAATTTCACTATTGTATTGTCTCCGAGAATAGGGAGGCCCAAGGAGAGGGAGAGATGGTAGAACAGCAGGTCGGTGGAGCAGCAGGACACACACAACATTTACCGGTTAGGTTTACCGTCTTATATGGGCACAGTTCATGGTGCCCCAAAACAATTACAGTAGTTACATCAAAGATCCCTTATCACGGATCACCATAACAAATGTAATGATAATGAAAAAGTTTAACATATTGTGAAAATTACCACAATGTGACATAGAGACACAAAGTGAGCAAATGCTAGTGGAAAATAGTACTGACAGACTTCTTGATGCAGGGTTACCGTAAATCTTCAGTTGGTTCAAACAACAACATCTGCAAAGCACAGCGAAACAAAGCATGTCTGTACCTCACTGACGAAACCAGAATCAGTCTGGAACCCTAGCTGCAAGGGAGTCACAGAAATTTATTTTTGAGCCTTCTAGACTCTTCAGAAAATGAAGGCTCATTAGCAAAAGGTTGAAATAGATGCTGATGGAATCTTGGTATAATATCTATCAAAGAGACACACCAGTGAGTGTTTCCCTGGTGCGGCTAGGAAAGATGAGAGATCAACTAGCTTATGAAAACTTGGGGAGGGTGGTGCGTTCTAAGGAGGAAAAATGGTTAAAGAGGACTGGAGGTGAGAAAGAGTATTAATTAACCTAAAAAACAAATGGGAAAACTTTAGGCCTCCTCCTTTACCCTTCCCCACAAAAATACAAATGGCAATTTCAGGAAACTCAAATTTTCGTTTAGAGCATTCTTGCAGCAGGTTGAGATGCTACCCTGTCTAATCCTCTACATGCACGCGGAGGTTGTGGCCCTTATTTAGCCAGGAGTTGTGGACGATCCCTACTCTCGTGTGAGGAGGCCTGACAGTGACATGAATGTGGAATCAAGCATGAAAGACACAACATAACGTAACAGCTAAGGTGTACCCACCCATTTTCCTTAACTGAGGAGAGGGTCCCAGACAGGAGATGGAGCCCTGTACAGGGAAGTCACTGGGAAGATTCAGATGCCACCTACAGGGTGGTCACTTCCTTCCACAGTGAGGAGGCAATAAGAGATGCTGGAGTCCTCTGGCCAGAGAGATAAATAGAATGTAAATTCAGAATATTAAACCTCGGAGACACTTTAACCCAACCCCCTCATTTTACATGAGAAAACAGAGAGGTTGAATGTCTTGTTGAGGGTGAATAAAGTCAGTGGAACACTGGGACTAGAACCCTTAATAGCAAACATACCTTTTTTTAAAGATTTTATTCATTTATTCGATAGAGCGGCAGGGAGAGGCTAAAGGGGAGAGAGAGGGGCAAGCAGACACCTCACTGAGTGCAGAGCCCAACGTGGGGCTCGATCTCATGACCTTGAGATCATGACCTGAGCCAAAGTCAAGAGTTGTCCCCTTAAATGACTGAGCCACTCAGGTGTCCCACAAATATACATTTTTACCGTGTGTTTCACTTTGCTTTAAAATTGTTCTTTTGGGGCTCCTGGGTGGCTCAGTGGGTTAAAGCCTCTGCCTTTGGCTCAGGTCATGATCCCAGAGTTCTGGGATCGAGCCCCGCATCAGGCTCTCTGCTCAGTGGGGAGCCTGCTTCCTCCTCTCTCTCTGCCTGCTTCTCTGTCTACTTGTGATCTCCGTCTGTCAAATAAATAAAATCGTTTTAAAAATAAATAAATAAATAAATAAAATTGTTCTTTTATGATCATTGTCTAATGCTGAACTGTAAATGTGGTAGTTAATCTAGCTAATTGTGATCACTTTAATATTTAGCTCCTTATCAGATGGCATTCAGAACAACTGTTTCTAAGAACAATAAGAAATTAAAATATTTTAAAAACTGAATACTGCTTCCTTTAGCCCAGTCCAGTCTTACTCCCAAAGATAGGCTTAGTTTCACCCTTAATGAATTTCACTTCCGGAGTCGGTTGTGTTTTAAATAATTTTGCAAAAATGGTGTAAAGGGGTCGAAGTATTAGAAATAAAGGGTCATTAAAAGGTGACTTAAATGAAGAATTTCCTCTTGCTTTATGAAATGGTAAGAATTACAGGCAATAAGTTTTATTTAAAATCACCTTTATCCCAAGCCATTTCAAGACACACAGAAAGTTGAATTGCCCCGCAGTGGTCAAAGAGGCAGTTTACAAGGGCTGTAAGTGACCTCCAACGTGCTCATGGCTGGCTAGCAATCAGTTCTGAGAATGCTGAACCTCTGTATCACTGAGCTCAAGGTTCCCAAGGAAAACATTTGCGCATCCCCACCAGGGTCTGCTCGGAGAGGCTGAGTCGTGGTGTGGGGTGACTGAACACGCCCCAAGACTGAACATGGTTGGGAATTCGAGGGTCAAGGAGAGAGGCGCAAGCTGAGTTGGCTGTCTTTATCCCATAGCATCTAGAATATTCTTTGTGGAAGGAACAAAAGACAACTTCTGTAAGAATAACGATGCCCTAAAGGAAAAAAAAACAAAACATCTGTTCTCTTGTGGAGCGCAGCCCGTTTTGGGAAGCAGCTGCAATCTGCTTTGAGTTACAAGGTGGGCTCATTCCCACCTCCGCACTGCCGGCTTGCCCAGCAGTTGAGGGCTCTCACCTCTGAGGCTGCTGTAAACAATGGAGCCCTTTATCTCAACATGTTAAATCCTCCTCATTTCCCCATTTCAGCCCACGCAGTAGGCCTGTGGAACGGTCTCAAGAGAATGCATATTTTCTTGTGAATGTTGGGCTTGGGAAAAGAGTCTTAGTCTGGACTATGAAGAGGGTGACATTAAAGTTTAAACGTGTCCGATATATGTAAGTACCATGTGAAGGTCAGGAGAGCAGGAGAATGGGCAAGTGCCCTGAGATTGGTACAGGAAAGCTGTGCATTGCTCAGTAAGATTTTATTACTTTGGCCTTTTTGCTTCGGAAACAATGGAGGAAAAGCTGAGTAGTGATATCCTAGACACTCCTAGGAAAACAGGGGTTTGGAGGGAGTCAAGGAAAAGACATTAAAAGGAAGGAGCCGGGTTCAGATTTCCTAGTTTGTCTTCCCTCTGCCTGGCACCAACTTAAAGCCTCTTTTCATCAGGTGAATCGCAGCCCAATCTGGCTAAAGCAGTTAAAGCGCTGGCAGGGAAAATGGTCAAGAGGGTTGGGGGGTGTGGGGGTTCCTGCAAGTTCTAATGCCCACCGGGCCGGCAGGAAATCAAAGAGAGAAGCCTGACACCTCTGGGCTATCCAAGAGAGGCAGGCACCTTGGCCTTGGCCTTGGCCAGTGTTGCTTCATGAGAATTGGGGCTCAGAGTGGCCTGACTTCTCAGAAGCCAGAAATCCATTTTTTGTTGTCATTGTTGAAATCTCCCAGTTTTTAAATAGTATAACAGATTGGAATGCACTCACCAGGTCTGCTAGTTTTCCAACTCAGGTTCATGAGCTTCACCCTCCTTCGTGGTTTTGGGACCTTAAAACTGGAACTTATGACTCATGTTAAGTGAAGGGAATAAGATTTTCCCCTCTTGCGCATTTAATATATCTTCATGTTAGCAGTTATCAAAGCTGTATCCGTCAGTATTCTTGGATGGATACAGGGATGTGTAAGATACAGTCCTGCCTATAGGTCCCAGGGGACTTAGGAGACAGATAAACAGGAAATTACCTGACAATGAACTTCTTGTAATTAAACAGATACTTCCAAAGTGGGGTCTGCACTGAAGGGCAATTAACCTTTCTTTGGATGCGAGCTGTGCCCTAAAGGAGTCCATCAGTTCAGTTGAAGGGAGTAGGTGTTTTGTAGAAGCCGGAGGTACAAATGAACAGTGATGAAAAGAGGTATATTTGAAGAAATTGCAAGTGTTTACTACAATTAAGTGATTATCAATTCAAAACCAAGGGTATCAATTAAAAAAGAGATTCCCCTCCAGAAAATAAAAACTGGCTTCTCAAGACCCATCCCAGATTTACTGAATCAGAATCACTGAGTTTGTTTTTTTTTATGGGCACCCTGGGTGAGTCTTATGATCAGGCTTGAGTGAAGTGGGTTCTGTTCAGCTCCGCAGTAGAGATTGTGTCAAATCTGAAAGTAGGATAGTCTGCCTGGATTAACCAGCTGAGCCACTCTGGGTAAGGCTAGCCTCCTTATGCTTAAGCTTCTGTACCTGAAAAATAAAGCTAGAGTCTCTGCTGAGTAAGATTGTCTTGCCAATTAATCAGAAAATACTTAGAACATTATCACTGTCTTGCTCCCTACCTGATCCCCAGCTCGTAGTACTAGGTTAAGGCCAGAATAATTCCTCCATAACTATCTGTTGAATGGCTGAGACTGGGGAGGTATGAAGGGGTCAGATCCTTGGAGTCCTTAGTTCTGCTTACTGTTCTAGGTACAACCTCCGGGCAGCCACCCTCTCTCCTCCACATAACCTACCTGGAACCATATTTGTTACCCCCCAAGTGACTCATTCTAAAACAAAACAAAACAAAAAACAGAAGTAGCTCTTTTATCCAAAGATTTCTAGGGTATACTTTAAAAAGAAAAAGTAAAAAAAAAAAAAAGGTTATTTCTTAAAAACCTATGCTATTTCCCTGTAGTAAAGTGAGAAAACTTTGTGAATCACCGCTGCTTTAAAAAATTAACAGTTCCACTTCATTTTGTTCTTCTCTTACCTAAGGCCGCTGTGGTACCATCTGCTCAGACACTTAAAATTACTGACTTCAGCTTCAGTGACTTTGAGCTATCTGACCTAGAAACGGCACTGTGCACAATTCGGATGTTCACTGACCTCAACCTTGTGCAGAACTTCCAGATGAAACATGAGGTAGGAATACAGTCGTGTCCTTTGGAGGTGAAAGAGAGTGTGTGTGTGTGTGTGTGTGCGTGCACGCGTGTGCATGTGTGTGTGTGTGAGAGAGAGAGAGAGAGAGAATTAATCAGTACACTGTCACCTAATGCCTACCGAGATTTTTAAAGAAAACGACATTTACTGGGTTCTTACTATTTGTCAAGCACCAAGATGAAGAACAGGGAGAGCACTCCCAGCAGTGGGAGCAGGGTGTGCAAAGGCAGGAGGAGTGAGTGGGGCTGGGTCTGGGGCTTAGGGTAGGAAAGTAAGAAGCAAATCGTATATATCCCTGTGAGCTAGTCAGAGGAATGTGGATTTTATCCTGAAAACAATGGTGAGTCATTGAGGAGTTGTAAACAGGGAAGTAACCTGATCCGATCCAGAGGTTATGATAACACGGTATGGTTCAGAGAAGGACCAAAACACAGTGAACTCCTTTGGAAATGAGGGACTCCAGGCGCTTGATGTGAGGCCAAGCCTGTGGTTTGAACAGGGGTAACCCGTGTTGGGAGGGGGATGAAAACTGATTTTAACCCCTGCCGATTACTTTAGTCACCTCTCAGAAAACAACAGGACTTCAATCAGTATCTTCTAATACTCATCTGGAGATACCAGGGGATAGCTATGTGTATAGCATCGAAGAATAAGGGAGAAGAGAAAGGATTGTTTGGGGAAGAAAATTTGGTAATTTGGCTTGAAAATTAATTTTTTTTCTGGTCCGTCGGATTTCTAGTCTTATACAGATTTCCTGTCTGGAAATGTAAATACCTTGAAGGTCTCGACTATTTTGCAATCCACAGATTCATAAAATGAAGCTTTATTAATGTATACAGTGTACCCAGCACCATGCTAAGTCTTCATTTCAGCAAAGAATTGTCCCTGCTCTCAAAAGCCTCACAGCTGGGAATGAAAAGGAAGACCTCATGTAGCTAGGTGAACACAGAGCCATGGATGGAATTCTTGCGGTATTCTTTCTTAAATGTAGCCAAAGTTGGCATGACTCTTGGGTGAAAACAAAGAATGACCGTCTCTGGACTCATAATACCTCACTCTTCATGTTGATGGAGGGACATCATATTATGTGATTATTTCAGGAAGCTCTCAAGAACACTTCTCAGTGGTTATTGCCCCTGTTTGAAATTCGGATAACATGAGAAGAGTAGAAAGATGGTGGATTGTGAGTTCTAGCTCTACTGGTCATTCACTCTTATTTCTTTAAGCGATTACTCTCTCACGGTCTCCGTTTCACAGTCTGTTAATTGGGATAATGGTGTGACTTCCCCAGTGGCAGTCTTGTGAGAATGACACGCGCACCCACAATGTGACTGTATGCGGTGTACACACGTGTGTTCCTGTCTCCCGTGATGTTTTTGCTTCTTATTGTATCACCCCATAGATTTCTCTACAGGAGGCTGTATGGTTCCTTTTTAAAAGCCTTTTCTATTAATGGACTAAAGACCTCACTTAGAGCCAGTTCTAAATGTGAAACTCAGTTCTGCTTCTTGCTAGTTACATGACCTTAAAAAAGCAAGACAGCATTTCAAATCCCTTTCCGTTCTGAGATTTCCCATACGTTAAACTGGCAGTGATCTGTTGAAAGCGCCCAGCCAGAACAAAGCAATCTGATCCTTATACTTATTTATGAAGTTTTTAGAAGTTGATTTCTTATTTCTTAAAAACCTACAAGTTTTCAGATCGCGTGTGAGTGTCGGACATGACGATAGTCAATCAGAATTCTTTTTTTTTTTTAACGATTTATTTATTTGAGAGAGAGTGCGTGCAAGCCGGGAGAAAGAGAGGAGAGGAAGAAGCAGATTCCCCGCTGAGCAGGGAGCCCTGAGCCCAAGGCAGACGCTTAACTGACTAAGCCTCCCAGGTGCCCCAGTCACTCAGAATTCTTTAGCAATCTTTATTCTTACCTTTTCTTGAATTTTTTTCATTAGACAGGTATTTTTCTTCAATGTCTCATTCATTTACTCTCCTTTTTTTTTTTTTTTTTTTTTCAGTAACTGCTATCTGATTCTGGCCAACATCAACTTGAATACCACAGTCATTCTGATTGGCCTTCCTGCCCTAGTTACTCTCCTGTCATGTTTATTTGAGATAATACTCAGTGTAATTTAAGGGTGATAAAGTTAAAATGTTATTGCTGGAGAGGATGTTGGCATCATGAAGCTGCCCTGACAAAGAATCTTTCCTACTGAAAGATCTGTCAAATCTTCATGTCCCTTTTTGTCTTCCAAATCTTGAGTTACTCTCCTACAGACATGGCAGCCATTGCTCCAGCTGACCTCTGAAACAGACTCTTGACTCTACTTGAACAAATTTGCATGTGCTATGCTTATTTCCACCTTCCATCTTTCACATCATTCCTCTCTGATGTGGATGGACTGCCTGATGTGATGTGATGTGAATGGACAGTCTGAATGGACCGCCCCACTTGCAAGGCTTCTCCACTTCTTGCCACAGCACGCTTTTCTCTTCCTCAGACCCTGACTCAACCCTAGTTTTGACTTTATACAACTTAGAATACTGTTGACAGTTTGTGGTCTCGATTTTGTTTTGTTTTGTTTTTATGTTAATCATTTTATTTATTTTTTTGTGTGACTATTTTTTTTAATTTTATTTTTTATAAACATATAATATATTTTTATCCCCAGGGGTACAGGTTTACACACTTCACAGCACTCACCATAGCACATACCCTCCCCAATGTCCATAACCCCACCCCCCCAATCCCCTTCCCACATCAACCCTCAGTTTGTTTTGTGAGATTAAGAGTCACTTATGGTTTGTCTCCCTCCCAATCCCATCTTGTTTCATTTACTCTTCTCCTACCCCTTAACCCCTCATGTTGCATCTCCTCTCCCTCATATCAGGGAGATCATATGATAGTTGTCTTTCTCCGATTGACTTATTTCGCTAAGCATGATACCCTCTAGTTCCATCCACGTCGTCGCAAATGGCAAGATTTCATTTCTTTTGATGGCTGCATAGTATTCCATTGTGTATATATACCACATCTTCTTTATCCATTCGTCTGTTGATGGACATCTAGGTTCTTTCCATAGTTTGGCTATTGTAGACATTGCTGCTATAAACATTCGGGTGCACGTGCCCCTTTGGATCACTACGTTCGTATCTTTAGGGTAAATACCCAGCAGTGCAATTGCTGGGTCATAGGGTAGTTCTATTTTCAACATTTTGAGGAACCTCCATGCTGTTTTCCAGAGTGTTGCACCAGCTTGCATTCCCACCAACAGTGTAGGAGGGTTCCCCTTTCTCCGCATCCTCGCCAGCATCTGTCATTTCCTGACTTGTTAATTTTAGCCATTCTGACTGGTGTGAGGTGGTTTCTCATTGTGGTTTTGATTTGTATTTCCCTGATGCCGAGTGATGTGGAGCACTTTTTCATGTGTCTGTTGGCCATCTGGATGTCTTCTCTGCAGAAATGTCTGTTCATGTCCTCTGCCCATTTCTTGATTGGATTATTTGTTCTTTGGGTGTTGAGTTTGCTAAGTTCTTTATAGATTTTGGACACTAGCCCTTTATCCGATATGTCATTTGCAAATATCTTCTCCCATTCTGTCAGTTGTCTTTTGGTTTTGTTAACTGTTTCCTTTGCTGTGCAAAAGCTTTTGATCTTGATAAAATCCCAATAGTTCATTTTTGCCCTTGCTTCCCTTGCCTTTGGTGATGTTCCTAGGAAGATGTTGCTGCGGCTGAGGTCAAAGAGGTTGCTGCCTGTGTTCTCCTCAAGGATTTTGATGGATTCCTTTCTCACATTGAGATCCTTCATCCATTTTGAGTCTATTTTCGTGTGTGGTGTAAGGAAATGATCCAATTTCATTTTTCTGCATGTGGCTGTCCAATTTTCCCAACACCATTTGTTGAAGAGGCTGTCTTTTTTCCATTGGACATTCTTTCCTGCTTTGTCGAAGATCAGTTGACCATAGAGTTGAGGGTCTATTTCTGGGCTCTCTATTCTGTTCCATTGATCTATGTGTCTGTTTTTGTGCCAGTACCATGCTGTCTTGATGATGACAGCTTTGTAATAGAGCTTGAAGTCCGGAATTGTGATGCCACCAACTTTGGCTTTCTTTTTCAATATTGCTATGGCTATTCGAGGTCTTTTCTGGTTCCATATAAATTTTAGGATTATTTGTTCCATTTCTTTGAAAAAAATGGATGGTACTTTGATAGGAATTGCATTAAATGTGTAGATTGCTTTAGGTAGCATAGACATTTTCACAATATTTATTCTTCCAATCCAGGAGCATGGAACATTTTTCCATTTCTTTGTGTCTTCCTCAATTTCTTTCATGAGTACTTTATAGTTTTCTGTGTATAGATTCTTAGTCTCTTTGGTTAGGTTTATTCCTAGGTATCTTATAGTTTTGGGTGCAATTGTAAATGGGATTGACTCCTTAATTTCTCTTTCTTCTGTCTTGTTGTTGGTGTAGAGAAATGCAACTGATTTCTGTGCATTGATTTTATATCCTGACACTTTACTGAATTCCTGTACAAGTTCTAGCAGTTTTGGAGTGGAGTCTTTTGGGTTTTCCACATATAGTATCATATCATCTGCAAAGAGTGATAGTTTGACTTCTTCTTTGCCGATTTGGATGCCTTTAATTTCCTTTTGTTGTCTGATTGCTGAGGCTAGGACTTCTAGTACTATGTTGAATAGCAGTGGTGATAACGGACATCCCTGCCGTGTTCCTGACCTTAGCGGAAAAGCTTTCAGTTTTTCTCCATTGAGAATGATATCTGCGGTGGGTTTTTCATAGATGGCTTTGATAATATTGAGGTATGTGCCGTCTATCCCTACACTTTGAAGAGTTTTGATCAGGAAGGGATGCTGTACTTTGTCAAATGCTTTTTCAGCATCTATGGAGAGTATCATATGGTTCTTGTTCTTTCTTTTATTAACGTGTTGTATCACATTGATTGATTTGCGGATGTTGAACCAACCT